TGGAGGCAGAGATGCACAATTGCAAGCTGAGGGAGATGGCCAGCAAAGTTTACCACGCCCAGCAGGCCCTCAAAGATTACCAAACAAGCACTCCAGGAAACTCGAGTATGCTCTGAAGTTGTTTAAGTTTCCTTACTGTTTTCAATGCACAATCCCTTAGGCTAAACTCCCTATGTAGCCAGCTAGCTGGAGCCTGTACAAAGAAATTCTGCTTCATATGAAATACCTAAGTAGGGGGAAAAAAATCTTTAAAGGCTTTTCGAGATATTTCGAGGGGAAACATAAAATAGCCCTCACTTTCCCTTCAACTCCTTGTGCATCCTGAAAGTTTTTCTTATGAGATGTGCGTTGCTAGAAACCAGAGGCAAGCACAGCCTCTGATCCTGTCCTGACCTGGGTGTCTTAGGTTTGAGCCTGCCCGGTGCTGAGCACTCTGGCTCTGGTCTATGCACTTAACTTACATCAGCTGAGTATGCTCAGCAAAAACAACACTGAGGCTGTTCAAGGGCTGAAAACTACATGTGGCTTTACTACATGTTCCTAGACCAGTTCTGCTGTGCTCCACCCAGGACGCTCTGAGGTTGCCAGAAAACAATAAATCAATACGGCCACGTGAATTGAACTGAAGTCTGACATGCAGCTTCCCAGTAGGAAAATTCCACTTTTACTCAAAATATTATTATTAATAAGTGTTGTATAGTGCCTATTAAAAGCTGTGCGTTGCTAGAAAGTATAGTCATCTATCCTGACATTTATGATTACAGAAAACCAGCAGTAACAGTCTGTAAAGTTACTTCAGCCTTTTTGCCTTAAATCTTCTTCTTGGCAATGGCTGGGCTTTGAAACTGTGCTTTGGATTGGGAGCGGGCTTATTTATGGTCATTTAATACAAGAAAGTTGGAAAATATTGCTCAATGAGAGATCTGGAGAGGCTTGCTGATTTAGCTCCTGATGCATTTGTAACTTTCTTGACTGTTTTCTAAGTACAGTGCAACCTGGTGAAGTAATTGGTTTGCTTCTTGTGTGTTAATCATTAGCGTTAAGATAAGAAGCTGACACTAAATCATGAAATCGGCTCCCCACAAGCTGGAGACAGGTGACCTGACTCATTATACTCTTGAGCACAAGCATATCTTTACACATGAGCAGAATTAATGAGGACTGTTATCTGAATTAGGGGATCTGATAAACATCCTCTCTTTAATTCCCCGAGCAACCTGACCTAACTTTGAAGCCAACTCTGCCGTGAGCTGGGGGCTGCAGGGTGATTACATGACCTCCAGAGGTTCCTCCCAGTGTAAGTTTTTTCTATTTGATTTACTACCTCTCCCTCCATGGGACTGGGGAGTCCTGTTTGCCAGTTCTGTGGTAAGGATGGAAAAAAAGCAAACATTCCCCTGCTTCAGTTCACAGGCTTATTGTTAATTAAACTCCTCTAGTGAACACAGATTTACCCTAAAATGCTGGGCCATAAATTGGGGCATCTAAGATACAGCGAAGTTTCCCAATGTACTCTACTCCACAAAGGGAAAAAAAATAAAATAAAACAAAACAAAAAAAAATGGTATAGTAACACCCTGTAACAACATCCTACCCTGAAGCACCTACAGTGACCAGAGGATGTCCAGTAGATTCAACAGCCCTCAAGAGCTTGCAGGACCTGGCCAAGAAGACAACGCATTTGGCTTTTAGAAACAGATAATGCCATTAAACCAGTAAAGTTTCTAAACTACTCAGAAGAAAGCCAGGAAAGGAAATTCCTAACAGAAGAAGTGGGGAGGGGGCAGTTACTTAAGAAACAATGCTAAATTTCAAAACATAGGAGGTACTTTTTAGCAAGTAACACCACTAACATTTTTGTCTAAGTACCCTTCATTCCTACCACCCATTAATAACAAAGTTTCTCTCTCCTTCACCAGTCACAGTTTTAAGTAAAATAAATCAGAAGCCCCCCAAACTTCAAAGGGCACATACTTCAAAGGGCATGCCTGCTTTTTCTTTTTCCTCCTTCTCTTCGTATCTCTTAAGCAGCCACACTTTAACTCACATTTATCCTTGACACCTTCATCAGCCAAAGCCTCCACTAACTGTTCAGTGAGGAAATCATTATCGAGCCCAAATACCTGTAGAACAATGAAGTGTAATAATTTCCTCAATTTAAGCATAACATTTTAGGAAATCAACCCTGTAACCAAACTTAAATTACAGTTGACACTCCCAGATGTGCAGTCATTCCAACAGTGTTGGATTTATTTTTTTATTTTTATTTTACAGACAATATTTGAATGGGCCTAAAGGACAGACCTAAAGGGTTCATGCACATATATCATTTAGGTTTAATCACCAGAGCTTTCTATTTCAAGCAAAGGAAAAAAGTGGTGGTAACTATAATCCATATCCACAATACCTAACACTCTTGTACGTGAAGAACACTTGGAATTCAGGAGCACAGCTCTGTGTTTAAGGCAGTGAAATGCTCAGAGCCCTAAATGCAGAGAACTATTTCAGTAATCGCTGTGCAGAACCTGGTACTGCACCTAAAGAGTGCACTGTAGAAGGAGTCTTAAACTAACTTAAATAAATAGTAAATCCACTGACTGAACACCCAAAAAAAAAACAACCCTCAAGTACTAATAAAAGCCATAAATCTATGATACAGTTAACAAGTTCTTTGTTTGACTTGGATCTCACTGTACCCACTGTCTGTAAGAGAATGAGGCCTTAGATAAATCAAGGGTATCAGAAGGAGACTACACAGGGACTGTAGTTTATTCCAATGAATATCTACTATTTAGTTCATTTTTAACTTCTCTATCCAAGTGTATAAAGGAAAAAGAGAATAACTCCAGAAGAGTCCTCACAATCTTTTCTTTGTTTCTTTTATAGCTCTTTCCTGTCCTATTTTTGTCAACGTTAGGCTCTGAGCTAGCAAATGTATACAAACACATTTTGTTATTCAGACCACTACTCCTCCTGAATTAAGGAACACTTTTCATGTGAAAAGTGCGTTCAGGTGCATAGGACTTTGCACGATTTGAACCACGAACTTCCAACACTTCTGATTAATTCCTTTCTTACACTGCTCCTAAGAAAATGTGCAACAGACAGAAAAAATAAGTCATTGTCTATAAAAAGGTAGTTTAGAACAGAATAAAACTTCAAGATTTTGATATGACCTGCTTCAAGGATATTCCAGATGCTTTCAGTGTTCATCAGCTGTTGCTGTAATAGGTACTTGAAATATTTTGTGTTAAGAATGAGGAATTATTTAGCAGTTTCCACTCAGGTTATGAATAAAACAAGCCTAATGTTCACCAAAAAAAAAAAGCAAATTCAGGAAACAAAGGCTTATGATAAGTATCTAATTCCGTTCTCAAAGAACAAAAAAACCCCATGAGGTTGGCCACAGCAGGCGAGCCCAAATGTCTGTTCAGCCCCATATTCTATCTCTGACAACAGCCAGCTCCAGATGTGTAGGAGAAGCAGAAGGACAGACAATGCCATTTCATAGAACCACAGCATAATTTGGAAGGGCTGTGACTTCTGGAGGTCATCCAGTCCAGTCCCCCACTAAAGCAGGGCTTCCCCTTCTAACTGCTGCCAAGGTTTCTAACAGCTCAACCAGCTCTTGGTTCAGGAATTTCCTGGGCTAGAAGCAATACCTTTGCACTTTCTTCATTATCTACTAGCAGATAGTCCAATAAAACCCTAATTTACCACCACAGAAATTCCTTACCTCTATTCCTGCTGATGGATGTGTTCACGGAGTACAGTTTCAACCCTTCCTCACTCCTCCACAGCTCTACTACTGAGACTCTTACAACGGACGGTACACCCCATTACAAAGCCCCAAACCTCAACCAGAAATCCAAAGCGGACAATTCAATTCTCCAGAGAAAAATGAGGGAAATTACACAAGACTGTGTTGCTCAGCTGCCTGCTGCCTTTGTTATTTGCCTCCAATTCCGGTGCTCATATATCCCAGTAGAGAAAAGCTATTTTTCCAAACCAAACTAAAACCAGAGCATTCAAAAGCCAAAACCCATTGCCACGGGCCCCTGGGTGGCACCATCAGTGTACGCAGCCCATTTCAGAAGCACCCAGGACACGGCAGTACAAGCTGCCTCCTGACTTTCTCATGTCAAAATAAAAGCTAGTTATTTGTCCTCACCATCAGGTCTGTCAAAGCGTAAACCTGATCCCACCAGTATCTGTGGGAGTCCGACCCCTGACTTCTGAAGGTGAGAGAGTTTCACAAAGCTTATCCCGTACAGCTTTCCAATAAGAAGTGCAACTCTTTCTGTTTTTCAGGTGGGGAAAGCGGGGAAAGGGGATGAGCCAGCGGGTGAGCGTGATGCAGCTGTCCCAGCTGCTGCTCTACCTGCGAGATCACGCAGCCTTGCCACAGCACAACGGGCTGGTCACCCTGTGGGCTTCCGTGCAGTCGCTCTCAGCCACACGAAGCTCAAACCAAACTTTGCATCTCTGCATTGCCTGCTTCCCGTACGGCACAACCCATGAGGATACAGAAGCGGTGAACGGGTTGGATCATGCTCCTGCCTCTCCCTTTCTGATCCAGCCGCGGGGCACCCAGGAGAGCTGCTGTGAGCATCGTTCACCCCGCCAAGCCCCGGGCAGGGTGCATGGGTGTGCTCCCAGCAGGTGCTGCTGCTCATGCCACCCATGGCAGCGGCGTCGGGCAGCGGGCTGCTGTGCCAGCGCAGCTCCCCAGCCCTTCACCCGCTCACAGCGTACTCAGTCTGGCTCTAATTAGCCCGGCAGCCTTCTGCTTGTAATAAAAGCTTTGTGCGGGGCGTGTGCTTGGGGGCCAGGAGAGCGGTACGGGGTGCAGCGAGCCCCTGGGGCGCAGCCACCGCTCCCCCGCGGGGCTCTCGCTCGGGAGGGCTTCGGGCCACCGAGCTCGTCCCCTCCCGGGGTCGCCTCCTCCTCCTCTTCCTCCTCCTCCTCTTCCTCCTCCTCCTCGTCCTCGGCTTACTTACACGGGGGTCGGCCGGCAGGGAAACTCGTTCCAGGCGCACTTGTACTGGGCCTGGACGTAGCTCTCCGTCCCGTCCAGCACCGAGCAGCTGACGTTCCTGTTCACGATGTAGGCGCACCAGTTCCTAGCGGGGAAGGAAGGGGAGACGGGACAAGCGGCATCAGCCCGGGGCGGAGGCCACATGGAGCGGAGGGAGAGGGGAGGGAAGGGGGGACCCATCCCCATCCCCATCATCTCCATCCCCATCCCCATCCGCATCCCTCACGCCCCCGGGGGGGGGGGCTCGGCGCTACTCACTTGCTGCGGGAGCCCGGCCGCGAGTAGCGCAGGTGCGGGGTGGCTCTGCTGAGCCCGGCGCCCAGGGCGAGCAGCAGCGGCAGCGCCCAGCCCGAGGGCGCCGCGGGGCCGGGGCACAGCAGCTCCATGGGGCCGGCCGCTGCCTCTCTCCGCCGGCTCCCCGCGGCCGTCTGTCCGGCCGGCCCTCCGCCCGCCCGCCCGCGGCTCCCCGACTGACGCAAATCCCCCCCTTCTCCACCCCGGTGCCGCCCCTCCGCGGTGGCTCCGCGCCCCTCCGGCCCCGCTGCCGCCGCTCCCCTCCACCCCTGCCGGGCCGCGGCCGGCCGGCCCCGCTCGCCCGCAGCCCCCCTCGCTCCCCCGGCCCGCAGCCGAGGGGCCAGCGATGTCTAAATCCTTCCAAAAGCCTGCTAAGCTCTTTGGTGCGAGGGGGAGCTTGCAAAAGTGAGACGGTTGCTCCCTTGCATCCCGCACCGAGCATCGCAACAGCAGTAAGACAGTTTTTAAACTACCCCATGCAGGTACAAAATACGATAACCATGCATTTAAAGGCTAGCTCGGAAATTCTGCTTTTAGACAAGTGGTGTGGTGTAGGCCATTAATCATGAGGTGAATCCTGTGCTGAGCAGAGAAAGCAATTATTAATGAAATTCATTCATGTTGTAGTCTTCTTCAGGCACCCGGACTGGGTTACCTGCCCGTGCCAGGCAGCCCGTGTTGGGTCCCACCAGCCTCCAGACCACAGGGAGGCCCCTCTGTCCTCATCAGCTCCCGTTCTTCTGAAGTGCTTCCTTTCGATGGCCACAGACACATTGAGCTGCGGTTTTAGAGGCAGAGTCTGTGCTGTGCTTGTGCAGCACGTGGGAAGCCCAGAGCCATCCTCTGGATGCGGAGGTGATGTGGGCACTGGTGTCCACGGAGGCTCGTACACGGCCACTTCGTGTCCTGCTATGGATGCTGCTTGTTCAATGCTCCCTTCAGTAGCTTGATGGGCTTCTGCACCAACCCTCAGACATAACTGCTCGTGGGACCATGCAGTCAGCTGCAGCGTGAAGCTGAGGTGTTACAGAACAAGTGTTTCTTCTGCATTTTTTTTGACCCAGGAGCATTTTTTTTGACCCAGGAGCAGGAGCTGTAGGGGTGTTTCAGGGCTTCATGACAGATCCAGGGTAGGGGCTTGGGAGCCCTGTGTTGAGGGGTGAAATCTTGAAAGCCACCAAGCCTGGACTCAGCACAACCAAATAAAGCTGCGAGGCTGGGGCAGCACAGGCTGCTCCTGCCAGAGGGAAAGGAAGGGAAGGGAAGGAGGGAACAGTGCTTGGGTGGAGAGCCGAGAGGTCAGGCAGCTACCATGAGGTTGATGGAAGATTTGGAAGAGATTGCTGCTGCTGAGTGTGATCCCAGCCCAGCCACGTGCTCCAAAGCCTCCCTTAGCCACAGCTGCCTCTCTGGCTTTCTAGGTCTCAAACAAAGCAGGCAGCAGGGCCGGGCCCTTTCTTCTGCTCTAGGCAATGGCCTGCTTTCAGCTGTAGACCTGGTTGTCTGCCCAGACTTGCCCAAACAGGTAGATTTCATCTGCTGGTCTTACAGTTGGCCTCATCCAACTATTTCACTCGCCCACCCTCTGGGTATGACAGGAAAATAAGCCTTACACACAGAGGTCAAAATTATGCTTTCAGAGAGTTTTTTAATAATTGTCTCACTGGGAACATACACGAAAGCTTTCTGCCCACAACCCCCAAGAAAAACTTGTCCAACTACAGGTGCACAACAATACTTTACTGGTGATAAGCAGAAATGGGAAAACCTGAGGTTATTGCTGTCATTTCAGTGCATCCTGTTTCACCTGAAAAAAATGGCATCCTCCTAACAGCTCTGCAGCTCCTTTGGAGAGGGCAACACGTCACTGTCTAAGAAACTACACCTCAGGCAAAGGTTAAGCAATTTACTCTGCCACTGTTTGCATTTGCAATAGCATGACATTCAGGCATCATGATTTCTGCTGGCAGAAATTATTTGGAGTTTCTCCAGCCCAAAGAAAGCAAGACTACAATTCAAGTCCCTAAAAAGTAACAATGAAGGCCCTTCTTCCTTTTTCCCCTCCTCATCCAGTCAAGGAGCTCTTGAAGTTGGTCCTTTTCCAGAAGTGATGAGCAACATGGAAGAGCTGTATGTCTTCCCACAAAGGGAAAGTCATGAAATAATGAAAGGCTGAGGTCATGCCCATCTTGAGAATGACTCCACAGGACAAAAATTAACAGGCTGATTTAAACAAAACGAGCAGGAAACAACAGCATGTTGCCATACACAAAGCACGGAGCTTATGTCTTGGTGCAGGAAGATAAAGCAGGTGTGACTTGAGTTGCAATGAGGGCACCTTTCTGACCTGCAAACTGAAGACTTGCCTGGTTACAGGATCAATGTAATCAAGGATCAGTGCAATCAGGATCAATGTAATACGGGACATGATTGGAATGGAGAGTCCCTGTAGTCTTCTGCTTACCTCTTGGATGTGCAGGTAATGAGCCAGGAGTTGCCCATAACTGCAGGACCCTGTCCTTGGAAAAATATTTGTTTAGTCAGGAACCATGCAAGAAAGTCTCTCCTGTTTTCTGATGTAGATGAGTTGTCCCTTTGCTGTCTGGATCAACCGGTTTGTAAATATTATGGAAGTGGACTTTGATAGTATTTACTGCATTCACTTTGCCATTACTTTAAAAGGGACACGTGAAGCTTCTTCTGCTACAAAGCATGGTGTATCTTTGAGTTTGTTTTGTTTCAAATAAGCCATAACAATGAAAACCAAAATCCTGCAGGACCCTTCACTGCTCCTCAGTGACATCAGAGATCTGTGGGAACTTGGATGCGAATGCTATGGCAGAGTGTGAAGTTTGGTGTGTGGCTGTGTGGTGGCTCAGTAAGGCAGTGACAGCAGAGGATGACCAGTGCTGAGAAGTATTGAGCTGAATGGAAATGGATGAATTTGGGCAGATGTTTAGAATTTACTTCAACGCCTATGATATTCACACTGGGGCTATGATATCAGCTGATACAACAGCAACCAGAACACAAATTTGGCTTTGCCGGGAGAATTTTCAACTCAGGTGCATGCTGAACATGTGCTTCAAGCTCTGCTCATGGCTGCATTTTTTCTATGGGTGTAACTAGCTTTATTTCAGAGTGTAAGTATTAATGTTGATATTGCTTTCAAGGAGACAGCAATGTTCACACTTTATTTTTCTGTGCTGCATCCTCTCATCTCTGAAATTCACAGAAATCCCAAGACAGATGTTTCTTACAGTACATGGAAAGCATCCTGCACCCCTCCCTCCAAAAGGAGTGTGTAATCTGCAAGTGCACCGAGGAGGGTTTTGGTGACTGGAGAGGTCATAGCACGGGTCCCTGGAACATGGAGATCACAGATGTGCGTCCATAAATCCCTTTAAATTATTTTGAAGTGCATCTCCCTTTACTGAGCTGCCTGGGTGTGTTTTCAGCACCAAGATCAAATGAACTTTCATGCTTCGTAACAGGATAATGATGGGAAAGCAGCTAGGGCCGTGTGCAAGGGCCTGCCAAAGAGGGAAAAGTGCATAGAGTGGGAGGGCAGAATAAATAGCAAAAACATTATCGGAGTATTTACTACAGAAATCTAAAAGACGAATGTGTCTTTAATAGCATGCTGCATGGACAGGCTGTCTGTTCTCCCTCTTGCGACATATTCATCTTAACATCAATATTAACATTAACAATTATAATTGGAGTCTATGATTGGTGCCCTTCAACTTTTCTCAGCTCAGATAATGAGCTTTTTTTTTTTTTTTTTTTTTTTTTTTTTTTCCCCCAATATATTTTTTCTAATGATTCCCCACTGCAAGATTTGGGTTTCAATTTTGAAATTTCTAGCTGTAGTCACCTGGCTGAAATCAGCCAGACGCATATTTAGCTGTAAATATTTAATGAAAATTAATGACCGAATGAAAAGTTGACGGATGTTAATGGCAGATGTTAATGAAATTACTGTCTGTAAAGGCTTAAACTTTGGAGCATGCAGAGAAAAAACAACCAAACAACAACAAAGAAACAAAACAGACACACAGACACAAACAAACCCAAACATTTGTGCTAGGTTAACTTCTTTAGACAGAAAAACAAATCAGTGTTTTACAAACAGCCCAAACATTGCCTGGTTGTGTCCATGTGTTTGTGTTAAAAACAACACCAATTAAAAATGGTCAAAATTATTGTTTTGGCTAGAGAACGAACTAAACAACTGCTTATCCCTGGGAACAGCTACCTGAGCACACCTTTACAGTCTGCTGAAGGCTTCAGGCCCGGGACAGCAGAGACCAATATCCATTATCCTGCACCAAGAAGAGGGTTGGTGAATTGCAAGCCACAAGTATTTCATGTTTGAGAAATGTTGTATCTGCTTTGTACTGTATAGGCGTGATTACTAAAGACAGGAGAAATAATGATTAAAGTCTCCACTAAAATACTCTCCTGTATTACAGCGTGCGAGGGCTGAACCCACTGTTACCATGGGGCTCCTGGCACAGCAAGGCTGGAGCCTATGCAGAGAGAAGACATCCGAGTGCAGGACAACAATCAGAAGGAAATATTTTAATGCTTCACAACACCTCTCAGTGAAGAGCCCTGAGGCTGGCTGACACGAGAACAAAGGTGTAAGAAGTTAAAGGGCACTGGAAAGAAGATCAGAGGAGATTGGCATTTCTTGGCAGACGGCCTGGGGGTTGGAGAGTAGAGGAGGTATGGGGAAGAGATTTCTTTTTGTGTCTGCTTATTTTACGCTTATTGAAATTGGCAAGTGACTTCAGTGGAGAAGATGCACAGTGCTTTTTGGTTCTTTCCACAGCTACGACCACTCTAACCTGCATGTGCAGCGGGGCAAAGCTGGTTCCTACAAAGCTACACCTGCTGCCTGCACACAGACCCCTCAAAAAACCTGCTGACAACTAGCTGAAACATACTTAAAGACCAAGTCCAAAACAGCATGCATTGTTTACCCTTGCTGTAAGGAGTTTCTTCCAGTCTTGCTCGTTATCAAATCAAGAATTGTCATATGTGGTTATAGACATACTGGTTACTTTGGTTTGGGTACCTCACCTCTGATGGTAGTGCAATATTTCAGTATAAAGAATAAGAATCTCTTCCTGAAAACAAGAGGCAGAAATTATTCACCTAGATAAGACCTAAAATTATAATTCATAACATCTTTCTTGCTTCCTTGGAGAAAAGAACTCCCAGCCTAATAATTATTTTACAATTAAGAAAAAAAAAAAAAGGCTGCTATTTTTAAGGAGACACTCTGTATGTTTCTTCTGATTCCTTTATTTTTATTTATTTTTTCTTTTTCACTTGAAATCAAGATTAAATTTAACTTCTTTTCAAGTTGCACACTGTAAAGATTTAGGGTTCTTAAGGAAAGTTTGTGTTTTAAAATGAGCTAACCAAACACAAAAATGCCAGGAATATTTTAAGTAAGACCTCATTAGGTAAAGACCATGACTGCAAATATTTGTCGCCTCTCTGCAGGCACATCATGTTTTTAGAAGAGGATTTATATAGGCTAACTCATTTTTCTGCTTCAGCCATTTGGACACTCAGCAAATTTCTTCAGCTTCTCTGGTTTCTCCCAGTTTGCTCCCTCACACCACTCGTTCTTTATCCTGTGAAATTTCACTGAGGTTATAGCAGCTCTTAGATGCAAAAAGCAAAATAAATAAAGGCAAGAACAAAACCCCAATCCCTTTTTTCTTCAGCCTTCTCCAGTCTTAGATTTTCACTGCATGCCGATGGTATGTGGCTGTTCTTAATCTCGAAAGCCATGACGCAAAACATATGAGGACAGCTTCTGGTGAACAAAGCCAAATGACAGCTCCAGGCCCCCAGTGCCTGCCACTGGTGGTACTGCTCACAAGAAACAAAACTATGGGGAGAAAGGGGGAGGAGAATCCCTTTTGGGGATCATTCTCATTATCCTTCCCCATGGCAGATTTCTGCTGAATCATTCGTCCTACTCAGTCCCTGGAGGTTCATTCTCATGGGTTGATATTGGCAGCCTCCTACAATTACAGGATGAGGCTATCACGCTTTTATCTGCAAACAGACTCGCTAAATGAGCACGACTCCCTCTACAATAGTAAAGCTATCACAATCCAATTCATAAAAATGAACACATAGATTCTACCCAAAGGAGTTTACACTCAGATCAGACCCAGGCAGCAAATCCTACGCTGCCTGTTTTCCAACACACCTGTAAGCTCCAGTACTGTCTTGTGACAAATCATATCCTGCTTTAACGTAATGTGAAATGCAAATAAAAGTATCTGACGACTTTTCTTGCAGTTGCTTGTTATCATTTGAGAATTTCAAAGGAAGTGGCAATTCAAAAAAATGAGAAGTTGAGAAAAAGGAAAGAAGACGTAGGGAAATGTAAGCAGCTGCACAACAGTGTAATGGGATGAGGTGCAAAAAGGTATTGGCGGTAAGAAGGTGTGGAAGGAGGAGGTGGCGAGTACAGCAGGGTCTTGTTCTGTTCATAGCTCAAATGCCATGAAACATTGTTATTCACACTTTTGCCTTAGTGTATTGCACTTTCTTTCTAACATGAATTTCTGTTCATTTGGACTGAGAGGAAAGTGTTTATCTTTCCTCAGCCCCCCCTGCCTGCTGGGAAGCAGTGAGTTGCAAACGTTGCATTGCGGAATCCTAATTGCCTTCTGTATCAATGTGTGGTGGCAAAGACAAATGTATCAAGAAGCATATTAAACTGGGGAAAAAAAATGAAAGTTTGTATTTATTTTGCTCATAATTAAATATATATATCTGTGTTTATTCTAGAGATAATTATAGAAATTAATATTGAGAAATGTTTCTCATTGTGTCAAAATTATGTGTTTAATCGTGTGCTAATATGACTGCAAAACCCATTTGTATTTAATTTCTCAAGGCTGAAATCAAATAAGCTGATGATAGCAGTGCTCTGTTTGGATCAGTTAAGCAATCCAAATCAGCCAAGGGCAACCTCCTTAAAGCAGGTAATTACTTCACTCCCACCACTTTTGATGGGAGTTAAAAGCCTGCATCTCCATGAGAACTAGAGATTAACCACCCAAGATTTGTTTCAATCAGACCTCTGTCAGATAACATCACTGGATGCATTCATTTTGTCTGTGGGCATTTTGTGCCTCACTGTCAGCTTCTGCTGGAAAGGTAGTTTATTTAAACAAAACCAAATATTCTCCTGTTCAGGCATGCTATGTTAAAACCGTGAGTGTGGTGTCTTGGTCAGCACGGTGCATTGAAATGGGGGAGTACAGAAGTCCCCATAAAATGGCCTAGATTATTTATTTCCAGTGGTGAGAGGGGGGTAGGTAGGTTTTAAACACCTGCCCCATAGCAAGCAGTAAGCCATGGAGGTAACTGCAAGTTACATGAGGAATGCTGAAATATATATTTAAACTCTCTCATCTTTAACCACTGAAGTTTCCATTCTTGCCCATAAATATATCAACACATTTTGGAACATCTCAGAGATTTCAGTAGTAGCTACTTAAGATATTTAAGTAGATACTTAGGTGGTAAGTTTTCTGGGAGCTTAGTTTTCAATTCCATTTTTCCCACTTGAGATCAAAACCTCCGGTGACATCAGTTCCTCTTGAGTCTCTCAGACATGTCTTACACTGTTGTCCCAATGATCATTCTTGATCAGCCGCTGACTTGTATTCGTCTTTTACTGTTCAAAGGAAATCCACATTGCCAAAAGAGGGTGTGTCTTTTATATAATTTCAGAAGAGCAATGGCTACAGGAATGACGACTGATGGAAAATAAGTTATAAATGATGGACGCTGCTGGTGTGCTTCCTGTGTGGCGGAATGAAAAACGATGGATCAAATGACTGTAACACTTCCACTGCACAACAAGACTGTATGCAGTAGTGGTGAAATGAACTCATGATTTTAGAAAACTTGAAAGGACACAAGATATGAAGAATTTATGTATAGCAGTGTGTGTTCAAGAATGAACTCAGTCGTGGACTCAATTCAGGGCATCTGGCATTATTTACAACATTCGCTTCTACTTTTAGGAACGCAAAAATTTCAGGCCTTTAACTTTTATGACAGTTAAAAGTTAACCCAAGCATTAGGATGAACTCTGTCAGGGATTGTTAATCCTTTCTGTGCCTGTTGGTGTTAGGCTTCTCTGTTTATTCCCTTCAGCAATTTACAGAACAACACAATGGGGTCATTACTGCGCTAGGATAAGAAATGGTCAGGGAAGGAACCCTGTTGTTTTATATGTACCTGGCAGCAATGCTGGAGGATCTGAACAAAATCAGAGCTCCACTGTCTTCAGTGTTTTACAGCCACAAGCTTTGTGCCAAGGCCAGGTCTCTACAGAAAGTTTTGCCACTTCAGTTATAATAACAGCGTCAAAGCCAGAAAACAAATCTGTAGATTACTGATGTGGTTAATGTGCATAAACCAGTGCAGCGTACTTCAGTTTGGGAAGTGGTTAAACTCTGTGCCAGATGAAATTCCCCGTATTCCAGTGTAATGGCACCTCTGCTGAGGGTTGGGATCTAGGGGGAGGCAGCGGGAAGGAAGCAGAGGAGAACAGGCAGGGAGTTTTGGTCGCTTCTTTCACATTGTGTACCTGTTTCTGAGAGAAATTTAAAGTTTGCTCATCGTTGCCATTTAAACATGCATTGGCTATCCTTTCTCTCCTTTCAGTTTTAAGTTGTGGAGCTAGAAGATGGTCTCTGCTGTGAGATGTTGCCTTACTTTATGCCAACCTACACATTCATTCTGAACTGTTTGCCGATGTTCCCAACAACAGGGCATTTTAAGGCAAACATTCGGTTAATAAATCGTACCAGCTCATTCCTACCTTTTCCCTGAAATCTGTCATTAACAATTAATAATAAAGAAATAATGTAGCAGAGGCTGTAGCTATAGAGATATTTTCAAACTATGCTAGGGGAGAATAAATCCTCTGAGGTACGTGAGGATACTTCCAAATCAGAGGGCAAAGAAGTCACTGCAAACTAGTACAAGGTAATTTTACTGGAAGTAGTGCACGGCAGAAGATTATAGGGACAGTTCTCTTTTGTATAAGAAGACATCTGTATCAAGGAAGCCAAATGTCTAGAAACATCAGTTATTTACAATTGAAAATGTTTAGATTAATTTTAGATAACTTGCAAGAACCACTTCAGTGACTGCATCCAGAGAGAGCCAAACGTTCACTGCCTCTTGTGTGAGTTGTCCTGCTTTGCTCTGAAAAAGTGGGAATGCTCCCAAGACCTTTATTCTTTGAGGAGTCTGACTAGTTCAACGGACTTGATAAGATACAACAGTGAGATCCTGACGGAGAGCAGCCTTATCTTTGTTGGAATATGGGATGTATGTTGTTATATCAATCTTCTCTTCAAAAACGTGGCAGAAAATGTAGTTCCTATGACTACTGAGCTTTGTTTGTCTTTACGTTTCTTTTTAGTACTGCAGCATCTCATGCATTTTGCGTTTTCATTCGAGCTCCAGTTCCTGGAATTCCAGCATGACTTGAGCACTTCAGATTGTATTGCAAGGAAAAGTTAGTTCTGGCATTCCCTTGCAGAGAGTGATTTGAAAACCTGACTCACAACCATCCTACAGTCTCAGAAACAAGGCGGCAAGTACCAAGAATTATACATTTTTTAAATCTGATGACTTTTAAGCCAATCTCCTGATTCATTTTATTGCAAGGGCTTTGCAGTAACAATGTCTTTATCCAGCTGCTTCAGACTTCCAACTCTCCTCTTGTCTGTTCTGGACTTGGCAATGCAGATTATTCTAAAGCACTATTTCCTATGTGGCATCCTAAGAGGCAGCTCAGGCTTTAACTAACTTCTCTAACCAGTTATGGAATCGCAGTTCTTCATACTGCTATCTCACAGTTCACCCTTCTTTTACAATTAGTTTATTCCATTTTCCTTGTGTGTGAGATTTTTCTGGTAAACATCAGTTATTTGGGTTGAGTTACTCGTCTGAAACTTATTGAACAATACTTGCGGTAGTGTAAAATAAAAGACACTTCCCCTTCTTTTTCCATCAATTCAATCTGTGGTGACCGGGTATCTATGTTTCAGCTCCCGTCTAAATCTACAGACAGCACTTCATGTATGAATCATTTGTTGGTGACTTGCAAAACTCTTCTGAGATGAGTAAGTGTTCAGTTTTTATAATTGCTTCCAGGTTTTCAGGTTTTAGTGATTCTAAGCATGAGGAGCCCAGCTTAAGATTCAAGCCTAAATCTTTTGCATAGATATACCCTTTTGTTTTTAGAGGGCTACCAACATTTTAAAATAATAATTAAAAAAAAAAAAATGCTCACAGCCAAACATTGCAACATAGGTTGGACACACATCCAGGGGTGGAAACAAAACAAGCCTTTTCTACAAACTGTGTCTCTGGGGTCTGGTCCTGTTTTGCAACTGGCAAGAATATGGTTATAAAAGATATTATACTGACAACAAACTTAACTAGCTGCTGTTACGGACAGGGTTGTCTTGGGCCTTTTGGAAGCTAGGGGCCTATCAGTGGTCAAGTCTACTTGATATCATCATCATGTACACAAATGGGAACCAAAAGAGCCATCTGATTATATTCATTGTATAGAAATCCAGTGGGTTGATTTTCAAAAGTGTAGAATAACCAGGAACACCCACAGGAGTCCTCTGCATTAGTACCTACAGGAATGAATCTTATTTAATCACATTTAATTTCTGTCCTGGGCGAAAAGACCATCCAGGGTCTTAAACAGAAGTTTAAAAAAGAAAAAAAAAAATCAAGTGAAGTGACATCCAGTACTTCATCTTCAAAGCCTTTCTGATCCTTTGGCAGAGATAATCTGATAGTTCTTTTTCATCCTAAAGACTCTGGTTTCCATTTTACCTTTTGAGGGAACATTTATGTTCACCACTCACAAAGTCCTTTCTTAATCTTTACTAAATAAATATATATCTACAGAGAAACAGCAAGAATTAGAAAACAGTTCTTTTTTAAAAGGTCTGCAGACAGAGAAGATTATGCAGATGAAAGATCTAGATGTTATGAACTCTGAGATGGGATTATTCATTTTTTACCCAAGTGAATGTTAACTAGACTTGACTACTGCTCTCTCTCCTTTTCTCTCTCTCTCTCTCTCTAGTTGATTTGTCAAAGTATTCCAAGACCAATAATGGGCATTCCCTAAAAACTGAGGAATGTTCTCACAAGTTTCCTTCTTTCCCAGGAATCAGGAACACTGCTTTAAGGAGGAAACGGAGATGTACAGTCAGTGTGCACAAAAGACAGGGCAAGTAGGCTCCAAAGACAGAGTAGACTTAAAAGTGAGAGCTGTGATTTTGCAATTCATGAACATTTGGAAAGCTGAGAACAAAAACCAAAGTAACAATTAATAAGCTTGCTGATTTCAAAAGTCTTAGCTGCATTGTGAATGTTTTGCAAAAGATCATTTTAATGCAGAACACTGAACTTTCTGCTTTGCCAACCCAGAAAAAAAAGAGCCCAGATTTCTTTCCAGTTCTCACCCCCAGGAAGATGGCATATTTTTCATTACTATTTTTCACACGCAAACTCTGCACATGCAGGAACGCTTTTCAACAAAGGAAAGGCTCACATTTCAAATAGTACCGTGGAAAATGTTCCATATAGTCAGCTCCTTGACACACCGCACTGATGTGTCAGCATGTCTTTGTAAGGCTCTGGAACAGTCTTGGCAACAAAGCTAACCAGCAAACTCTTTGACCCCAAATTCCTCTATTCCGATAATGTTATCATGCATTTGACACGGGGTCACTGTTACTCACTTACATAAAGGAAACTTTCAGGAGAGAAACTGGGTAACGCTTATTCATGAGAAATCCAGTTTAAAATGATAAAGTGGACTCATATAAGTCATAAATATCCCTTGTTTTACAGCTATGCTAGTTTTCTTAGGGCAAGAGGATCTAAATTTTCTTTTTGAAAAAATTCTGATAGACCACTTGAAAACATGATTTTGCTATTGAGAAGATCTGTCTGAGAAAACAGAAAGAAAAAAAAAGTGTTAAAAAAATACTATTTTGTTCAATACCATGAAGCATGAATGAGGTTTGAATTGCCTTAGTAGCATCCCCTCGTGGAAGCTGGAACAAAGCCAAATCTGAATAAATTGTGCTAATTCCAGATAATTCTATTTGCCAGCAGTCTAACTAAAGCATCCATGTTCTGCTCTTTCTCTGAACCTGGCAGAGACCCCTCCAGACCCTCTGAGAATGCAAGAGTTCATAAGTTCACTTGCTATTTGCACTTCAACACATTTTGTTGAAATAATGTTTCCAATCCTTCTTTACAGCAGAAGTCACACATATCACCATTGAAAGATAAGAGTAGACAGAGCACAACTTCAGAAAATAAAAGTTCAACATTAACTTTTAAAATGTACTTGTGGGGTTTAAGAATCAGCGCATCAATATTTAACGAGTAACTCTTCTCCAGAATACCTGACTTTCTGTTTGTAAGGTACGTGAAGTATAGCTGCTTATATCTGTGGTTCTCCTTTTCCAAGCCCACTGAATGTTTCCTAGAAATTACTGCTTACACTTCTGAAATATTAACATAAAAATGACTCAGGCTTGTAGAGCCTAGAACACACGTTCTCACACTGTGATTCAGGGAAGAGCAATTGGATAGCTGAGGATTAGAAGGCTCTGGCTCTGAGTCACATACACACACAAAAGGAAGATATGAAATTTGAAGAACTGGAGTGTTTGGCTTCCCACAAGAAAATGACTTCTTGTACCTCGAAACCTTGGTTTAAAATTGATACTTCCCCTGTGACCATTTGGTGACTCAGGAAAGTTGCGTGATCATAGATGAGGAAAAGTGGCCCATGAAGTCTTCTGGGACGTTATTCAGCCTGAATAATTTGAAAATCCACTGCACAGAGGTGTTGCAATGTATAATCTCCAGAATCCTCAGTCCAAGCCTATCTGTAAGTGTGGAAGCAGAACTAGGCTGTTAGGAGTCTCACTGGCAGGGTAGTTCATAGACTTACCACAGCAATTCTGTGTAATGCTAATAGATGTAACCTTCTCTCAGTCCAGTATTAACATTATTTCTTGCATACATATGAGGGTTTCTATTTGTAGGAACTCCAGCAGTTTCTGCTTTTCTGCTTGTCTTCTCTGTGCCTTCATCTATTTCTAGAAAAAATGGAGCTGAGACTTTTGAGGATACTCAAAGTCATCTGTTGGTAGCCTCCATGGTTAGCTCATCTGTAACCCCAAGCCACCTGGATCTTGGAAATGCATCTTGCATCCAGCACTGAACAGAGGCCTAACAATGTCATGTCTCCTTTTGGGAGATGTGGAACTTCAAGCCCAAATTTCAAAGCTACAGGTATCTTCCTTAAGCCTTCTCCATCGCTTACACACCCTTCCCCACTCCTGGCACACACTCCTCCATTCAAAGTCCTCTGAAGGCTCTTGTTTATGTTTGAAATATCTGAGCACATGGGGGACACACAGTTTGGTAGAGGAGACTCCAGCGATGTCACAAGTTTATGCTCAAACACACAGGTGATAGTTAAGTGGAAAAAGTAAAAACTATTTAGGCTTTGTGTAGTGTCAGACAAGTACACGCTTTTTCCAGCACTGCTGCTGGCCTCACAGCATTTGCAGAGTAGGACGAGAAAGGTCAAATCTCATGCAGGTTGGATGCTCTGATGATGACTCTCAGGCAGGGTCAATTCTGTAGCTAGATAAAATCTCTCTCCAGAGCCCAACTGGATAAGTCACAGTCTTGGCCTGACCACCCACTTTCAGAGGGACTTTTTTTCCTTCAAGCTGTGCATGACAATAAACTGCCTTTGGCATCTGGAAGGCTCTCCACTCAGAATATAATTACAAACTTCAAAATGGTGGTTAAAATGTCAATAAAGGACATGATTAGTTGCAAGCTTCCACATGTCTGTGTAACAACACTCCAACAGCAACTCACCACTGTTTAGTAGCTGATCTAACCCATCCCCATTTTTACCATACCCTTACAGCAGCTGGGCTCAACCAGCCCTGCTGTATACCTTCAAGCCAATTCAGGGGTGGATGGTGGTGGATGGCAGAAGATAAGAAAGTTGCTGTGCTGAAGACAGCAATCTGTAGTTAATCTATCTGTCAAAACTACCTTTTGCCACAAAAGCAGGCTCAATTTCAGCGTATGTGGCTTCTTGCATGTCTACCAGTCCTGATTATGCTTCCACTTCAGCAACTGTGCTTTGATTTCCCTCACTGAACTGTTAAAAATTGCTAAAATTACTCTCCTGCTTGCTTCTGCTAAAAGTCCCTAACAACACAAGGACTTCTAACCATCCCTTCTCACTATTCACAGGACACCCTCCGCACTAGAATTGCCCCGGGACTCTGCTGAAGAAAAGAAGCTCTTGAGCAACTTGCAGAATCGCCTCTTCCATTGTTTCTGAAGAATTCTTTTCACTGCATTCCTCGGGCTGTCAGGAATTGCACAACCAGCTCTTCCAGCTCGAGCAGAGCTGAACCTGCGATCTGTATCTTCCGACAGAACAGTCATTAAACTTAGGTCGTTTCTACGCACACGTACACGTGTGCTAAAAGATCCTTAAAGATCCTTAGAGTTAGGAAAACTCGAAAGTCTTGAAAGTAAGACAAAGTGGGAACACACCAATGCACCTTGCCTGTTTATTAGGGCTTTAGTTCCATACTAATTTTATGCTATATTGCCATTTCATTTCTCTAATGTATTTTGAATCCAGTTGTAAGAATGCAACGAAAGCAGGAACTATATGTAATATAAAATACTTGTTTTCACTACCCCCCCCTTCAGCTGCTTCATGGAGAAAGCTAAGGTCTGGAGCTTTTTGGGATCATTGCCATTAAATTAAGTAGCAGTGACTTTTAATTCAAAAAATCATTTTTTATTTTATTTTTTTTTAATTCAGCAACTTTTAAACCTACCAGGTTCTTGTGAAAAAAAATGCTGAATGAGAGGTTCCCACAGTTGTTCCAAACATGTAGGTCAATTGGGGGAAAAATTAATTTTCCTGTTCTAAAAATCAGGCTTGAATGCAACAATTTGTGTATTTCTTGCATGACAGGGTCTAGTTGGTTTGCCAGAGTTATACGATGAGGGATAAAAAATGAGTGAATAACAGGAAAGTAGAGCCAACTAAATGTCCTCCACACAACTAGTATGTAACATTCCTTTGCTAAAAAAAAGTTAGCATTATATATAGTTCAGGCAAAATTCTTGGACTGTGTTATTAGATGTAAAAAGTAAAAAAATAACCTTACATGATTTGCTCTTGTGTACAACTTCATCAAACTATTACTGTGTGTTCAAAGATGGTGAAAGGTCTGTGGGGGGAAGACGTATGAAGAGGAGCAGCTGAGGTCCCTTGGTTTGCTCAGCCCCGAGCAGAGCAGGCTGAGGGGAGGCCTCATGGCGGCCTGCAGCTCCCTCACGAGGGGAGCGGAGGGGCAGGCGCTGAGCTCTGCTCTCTGGGGACAGCGACAGGACCCGAGGGGAACGGCATGGAGCTGGGACAGGGGAGGGTCAGGCTGGGGGTTAGGGAAAGGGTCTGCACCCAGAGGGTGGTCGGGCACTGGGACAGGCTCCCCAGGGACGTGGTCAAGGAAACGAGCCCGCAGAGTTCAAGAAGCAGTTTGGACAATGCTCTCAGACATCTAGGGTGATTTTTGGGTGGTCCAATGTAGAGCCAGGAGTTGGATTCGATGATCCTTGTGGGTCCCTTCCAGCTTGGGATATTCTGTGATTCTAATATTGTGTAAGCCTGGAAAAAGAAATAGCTCTGATGTAGTAAAATACTTAAAATTTTTACAAATAGAAGGAAGATCTATTCTTTATGGCCCATTTATGTTGCAAATGACTTTCATGTTTGGTTGTGTGCTTAAACAGGGCCTAGATACTGTACTCATAAATGGCTAGCCACTAGCATAGCTTAAAATAATTATACACAAATTAATGAGTGAGGGTTTCTTTAGAGCCCTAATAAATTCAGTCCTTTAAAAACTGTTGAGTATTGAAGAACCAACACGTTAAATATATAGTAAGAATTGTGGACTTATATTTTTGTGCAAATACATGTATAAGGTGCTTACTGTTTTTCAGTAACAACTGAAAATTTGCCCTAGCTTTATATATGGTTTGGTTTAAGATAAAATCTCCTTCAATTAGTGTACGCGCACATGTATCTGTACGTTTTGTTTGCTCAAGCTGAGGCTGCTCCTATTAGAAATATTTCATTGCAGAGGAAACATTCTGCATGGATGGAAATAGAGGGGCCGTGCAGTTCAAGTACATCCAGTCAACAGAACAGCTCTGCTGCAAGTCTGTGCATCTCTGTAGGGGTAGTGGGTGTGGGAGAGCCTCTTTATGGAAATATCATATAATGGAGAAACTGTATGTATACATATATATAAATCTTTGTGTATGCACATATGCAAGTGCATGCTTTTTATGAAGGAGAAATGATCACTGTTGCAGAAGCCTGGGGAGATGATCTGGTGTGACAGGAATGTCAAAATCACTGGATACACCCTCTCCAGCAACAGGCAGAAAGGGAGGCTGAGAGTTACTTCATGCTGAAAGACAGCATTACTGCTACCATCAGTAAAATGCCTGTGATTCCTAGAGGATAAGCAAACTGACTTTGAAAAAAAGAAAATACTATAACTAACGTGGGCTTCTATACTGGACTGCATCCTGGCAGGTGAAGACTAATTGACTGAAGATCTGTTCAGTAGTAGCTGCCTTGGTGAAAATAATTAGTTGCTGTGCTAATGACAAGCAATCTCACACAGCTTTTTTTTTTTTTTTTTTTTTTTTTTTTAATATGAAAATAATGGAGCAAACTCATTAGGAGAAAATAACGATAAAAATGCAAACAGCATTTTAATGACAGCTCCTTACCAATGCTTTATTAGATACCCATACAATGACACCAGCACAACCTCAAACAAATACTGTTATCCTGAGTACTACAAATACTATGTTCATGTATGTTTGATTAAGGACCCCTGTTTGACTGCCCAGGAAAACAGATGAAAAAGGCCTTTAAAAACAATGACAAGTCCTTTGTTGCTATCATATGGAAAAAAGTAAGCAAAAGAAAAGTACGCTCAAAGAGTCAGAAAATACAGAGAACTGTGATGAAGGAGGATGAAGATATTGAATATATCTCGAAAGAAAGAAAGAAAAAGAAAAAAAGGAAAAGGAAAAGGAAAAGGAAAAGGAAAAGGAAAAGGAAAAGGAAAAGGAAAAGGAAAAGAAAAAGAAAAAGAAAAGAAAAAAAGAAAAAGAAAAAGAAAAAGAAAAAGAAAAAGAAAAAGAAAAAGAAAAAGAAAAAGAAAAAGAAAAAGAAAAAAGAAAGATTGTTAGGATTGGAAGATAGAAGGGTGGTACGGGTGGTGAGGTGCTGGCACAGGTTGCCCAGAGAAGCTGTGGGTGCCCCATCCCTGGAGGTGTTGAAGGCCAGGCTGGATGGGGATTTGAGCAACCTGGTCTGGTGGGAGGTGTCCCTGCCCATGGCAGGGGACTGGAACTGGGTGATCCTTGAGGTCCCTTCCAACCCAAACCACTCTGATTCTATGATTAAGAACAACAACAAAGAGAATGGAGAGTCTGAAAGAAAAGGACTCCTGGAATGGTATAGAATTTGCCTGAACACTAAGTATTAATTTGTAATGAACATTCAGAGATACAAGCAGTGTCACAGAAGATAAGAGCTTTTTATTGCTGTACCTGTATCTGAATACACACAACTTAATGAGCTAGACCTGTTTTGACTGCCCACACCTGGAGTTGTGCTTCATTCACCAAGAAGGATAAATGAGTCTGCATTTTTTTTTTCCCAACCAAATTACTGGACACCAGATATTTAGAACCACACAGCAAAAGGGATGGAGGAATAACTGCAAAATGCAGCTATAGTCTCTGCATCTCTGAAAAACAAAACAAAACAAAGCAACACTACGGCAAACAACTTCTTTTCCCATTGTAATTGACAGTTTTGACCCTTCATCAATGGTGACTTCAAATCTCTTGACCAGCTCAGTTGAAACGGAGCTCAGAATAGCAGTATAAACATACCTCGGTAACATGCTTTAACTTGTGGTTAAGCCTGAAGCGGTCAGGCCTTGATGAACTCTGTAACTCCCTTCCAGCAGAGCTATTTTATTCTTCCCTCCTCCACGGCTGCTCTTGCCCTGATGTGGAGCCCTGGCTGATGACGGGACTTGAAGAGGCCCTGAAGGAGTCAGAAGGAAGTCACAGATGACAGTAGCATGAGGCTAGAAAAGAACTGGAGGAGGTGATGCTGGAAAAGTAGCATTGTGAAGCCAGGGCCATGGTGGGACTGGGACACCATAACAGTGTCGTTTGGGAAGGACGGACTTGTCCCTGACCAACATTGCTAGGTTACAGCAATGTTTCATCACCCAACTGATGTAGGCAACCTCTGAAACCCTGCTTGCGAGAGGAGGTAGAGCAAAGGGCACACAAGAAACACAAGGCTATGGGAAGCAGAGCTTAAGCAGTGAGTCAAGCTGTGGTCCTTTTGGTGGGGGCGGAGGGCAGGGAAAGAAATGAAGCCTTGCCATTAATGCCTTCACCTCTACTGAAGGTAGGGAAACTGGGAAGAAGGCAAGTGCGTTTGCTGACAGAAGCCCAGGAACAAGACTCCCAGTAGGTTGACATACTTGTGCCAGAGCTTCCCTATCCTACAGGAAAACCCATCAGCAGCTTGCATTGCAGAGGTGTAGTTCCCCATCTCTCCTTGTTGAAGTTTGGTGCTCAAACTTCCACGTTCACTGCTGAGCCCACACACAACAGGGTGATGATGGGCTTGGTGGGGCTGGCGAACAGTGAAAGCTGAGGCAAGGACAAGGTCTCAGGGCTTTCAGTGGAGGAAATCTATCTTCTGAGCAGGAAAACTGGTGGGGATGCAGGACCTGCTGTCTGGGATGGGATCACCTGGCACAGCAACGGGCTTCCTACTCAGCCTTCTGTCAGGACACTGCCGTAGGCCCCGCGCACCACTGCCCGCACTACCCACGCAGGGGCAGCCCAGCCCTGCTGAGAGGTGGCTCCATCTCCCCGTCCTCATGGGGCAGGCTGCGGCCCTTCCCCACCCACGGCTGCTTCTGGTGTGACTCAGAAACCACCTCCTCACCCCTCAGCCACTTCCTCTTGTTTCTTGCACAGCTCTCCACCAGCCTCTCATGAAAATGAGTAGCACAACACACGCACCCCAGTAGCTTTTACTCCCTGGTTAGGTCTGCTACAGAGTAAACAATGGGTAAGGATTGAAGTGACACTTACCTTCAGAGCTTGAAGGCTCTGTCAAGACCAGATTGCTTGTCCTAAACAGCTACGCGAAGCAGTAATGTGTGCTGTAATTAACTTTCAATCATTCTGCTAAAAAATCCTGAAAATTCCCCTGGTGAAATTCCCTGAAATCTTTGACAACTGTTACACAACTCCGGAAACCATCCTTAATTTCCTGTTGGCTTCTTCCACCAGGGAGATGCACCAAACTACACCAGTAGTGTACATACTGTTCTGACCATTGAAGCCAAGAGATGAATTTCAAGAGGAAGCATTTCTGATGGAATAGGTATTTAATCTAATCAAATTCAGGATCATCCAGAGGTTGAAGGTTGAGGTGAAGTAGATGCCAGAAGGAAAATAAATGCATTTTAAAAAGTACTACTTAAAAAAAAAGGTACTATTATTATAGTTATGGAGTACAGTAGGACATTTTCTTACATGGCTAACACTCCATTATGGTTGCCTGGTTCAAGTCTGTAGAGCTAAAAAACAAGAAAAAGGACTGAGGCAGGGATAGCAGAATATCTAGCTGATGTTATATGCCATCTATTTTAATGTTATAAATCTGTTTTCTTTAAGAACAGCACAATTTGATGTCTAAAATAATTTAGACTATTAAGGTATGAGGCTTTGGAGAATCCCTCCTAACCTAGAATGCATTGCACCCATAATTTGAGGAGTTTTATTAGAAATGTCATCAAGATGTGCGTCCGTGACCAGCATTATGAAACTTATGACAGAATGTCTTTAAATTTAATGCCCCTTTTCAGAAAAAATGTATACTAAGTGCTTATTGCTGGGTGAAATCGGTAGAGAGGATATTAACTTACACTCCAACGCAGAAATTCTTTGAGGGTGGTGTGAACCAACACTTCCACATCCTTAAACAATACAGG